TCGTCGCGTCGCCCAGTGCAGTCGGACGACCTCCGGGCAAAAGGCTGGGTTGTTGCGAAGGCCTGGTCAGAAGAGGGCCCATCGTCCATGCAGGCAGACTCCGACGTCGAAGCCAAGGTGGCAATGGTCGAGTCCCGGTGGAGCAACAGGTGGGCATGGATGCTGCGGGCAGCACGAAGTGAACACATGTTCTCATCATCCACCGCCTGGATGATGATGCGAAGTTCACGTGCCAACTAGAGAAGTTTTTGGAGGACAAGGGCATCGATGGTCTCGTCGTCCATCTGCGGATAGCCATGATGTCGAACATCTGAAGGCGGTCCGTAAATGTCGGACATCCGCCGAAGTGCTGACTGCAGTGTCGCCCTGTCCCATTTGGGAACGGTGATGAAGGCGGTGAGAGCATCGTCATCCATGGAATTGGACCACAACATTCCCAAGATGCATTTGGCTTTCATGTCCGGCAGAAGCACGTGGTCCCTCAGCGGGAATTTCAAATGTGCGGGCTGTCCAATGGCGGGAATGGCCATTGGTGGCTGCTCCGCTCCGCCTGCAGCCTCCAGCGCCGGTTGATCTCTTCAAAAATAGAAGCCGCAGCATGGAGAAGTTGGGCGAGGCGGGAGTGCGCGGCACGGACCACGCCGCCCACACCAGGAGGGGCGATCTGTGGCCGGGCTGGTGGTTGGGCGGCCGGCAGCATGCCGGCATCTTCTGCAGGGTTTTTAGCCCCCGCAGGTAAGTCTGAGTTATCTTCATACGGACTTCGCACGCGGGTCGTTCATTTTGTTTCCATGTTTTTAACCACTTTTGACTCCAGTTGTAGTGTTGTATTATGACGAATAAACTTCTTTATGAGGCACACGTTGTTTATTGTCTTTCACTACAGGGTCCCTAGTATGAAGGGTATATCGGTCCCTTCCACCGATACCTGGGCGCTATGGCCTCCGAATTATACGGGACCTAACTCTGGTCACCCGTTCCTTATCGTCCTCCGGCTGGGACCTAGGGGAGGCTAACTGACCTCCTAGTCCGTGGGTCCTGACCACTGGCCTCACTGAGCTCCAGCCCTTAGAAGGACTGTGGAGCTTGGGGTCCAGGGTCCTCTCTGCCAGGGACCTATTCTCCCTTGACTACTGGCCTCACTGAGCTCCAGCCCTTAGAAGGGCTATAGAGCTTGGGGTCCAGGATCCTATTCTCCAGCCCGGTCTTCTGTCTTCGGCGTGTAGATAACTGAGCCAGAGGTCTCTGAGCTCTGGCTTATATACCCGTTCATGGCCAGCTCCGCCCAGGCCACGCCTTCCTTATGGAACCTTCTGGAAGGTGACATCATTCTCCCGGTTCCCCCCCACCTGGGGGCCCAGGGAATGTGTCCTAGGATCCGTTTACCAGGATTTACCGTTGGCTTCTCTCTGGCCCATGGCATTTGCCCTGGTGAGGAAACGCCTCTGCACTCTATTGACAGTAAGTGGAACTGCAGGGCTGTTGCATGGTGAGTGACAATCACTCCTACACAAGCAACAGTCGCACAGCATGTGTCATATCATGTCACGGGGTCCTCACCTTTAGCCATTGATCCTCTATTGAAATGTAGACATGGTGGGGGTAGTGGTGGTGTAGCGGTCAGCACGCTGCGCTACGAACCTGGCCACCGCAGTTCGATTCCCGCTCACGGCCAACGCCAGTGACGATTATCTGAACCGGTCCTGAGCCTCTCCTAGGTCGGCTCAGTCTCAAATGAGTACCTGGTGCTGTGCGTGAAAACATCGCCACTAGGGAGATAAAGGCGGTCGGGCGTGGTGCTGGCCACCCATCCCCTCGTGTGCCATTCTGGAATTCATAGGTGCTCGCTAACATCACTTGCCCCAACAGTCTGTTACAAGCTATACGGGGAATCTTTGTCTTCGTTGGTGGGTTTGTTGAACGCCTGTTCATGGGGGTGTTGGTGTTGGTGAGGGTGTTGGTGGGGGTATTGGTGGGAGTGTTGGTGGTGTTGGTGGTGGCATTGGTGTTGGTCGGTGGTGGTGTTGGTGGTGGTGTTGGTGGGGTTTTTTGTGGGGGTGTTATTGGGGGTGTTGGTGACTTGGTAGTATAAGCGCAATGTGCTCAGAAAACGGCGACCAGATATTGATTTCTGGCCACTGCTAACAAGTTTCAAGTTTTTTTCATTTCAAGTTTCATTTATTAGGTATAGCCCTGTGAGCCATGCGGCTCTTAAGTCAGGTGCAACCACAACAAACAAAATATGAACAGAGAACATCTTAAAGCGACGACGCGCAACAGAAACACCCTGGATAAACCAGCAAATCTTCCAGAAAAAAAACCGTATTACAACGCTGTGTGCAAAAATTCCAGTGTGATGCAAGTCAAACAATAACAACCATAAGACAATTTAGATTAAAGTTATCAGGCCAACTCCGCACTTCCGCAAGAAACGTGGCTTAACCAAATGTTTTCGAAATCACCAAAATAAAGCTATAAAACAATGTAACAACAGCAATCATAGGAACTGTGATTCATATTTAACAATAAACGATATACATAACATGTATGACCAAACTTGCAGCCATAGCTGGCAGCATGACACTCCCAGTGTATGATGTGTGAGTGAGTCAGCGGTAGTGTGAGTCAGTGTATGATGTGTGAGTCAGTGGTAGTATGAGTGAGTGTATGATGTGTGAGTGAGTCAGCGTATGATGCGTGAGTAAATGTATGTGTGAGTCAGTCAGTGTATGATGTGTGAGTGAGTCAGTGTAAGATGAGTGAGTGTATCACGGCATCCTCCACACCATCACGGCCTCCTCCCCGCCATCACGGCCTCCTCCACACCATCAGTCTTAATAGTGAGGATTTCCTGGATAAATTACTAGACAGGCAGTATGTTGTAGTGCATGATGGAGCTGCAGTCGTATGGAGTTACTAAATCATGTGAAGTTGATATTATCTTCACAACGTCACCATTCCACTCATCTTTCACGTTCTCTGACACCACCCAGACGTGGTCGTCACGGTCGCTGCGGCAGTGCTCGTGGTGGAAGTGATGAGTGATATTATAACTGGCCTAGGCACCCCCTATGTCAAATCAACAATATAAACAAGCTCATGGTCTCACGCTCCGCACACAATTCGCAATCTCCTCTCCATACCAAAAGGACCAGGAACTTCCCTACCAGGCGTGGTTTCTCCACGGTCGCCCTCCGTTCTGACTGGAACGCAATCACACAGCATGCACCTCGCAGCATTCAATCGACACGAGGGCCCACCTCTTTCGCCTGGCTTTCAAGTGGCACTGAGCCCCGCGGAGTTACGGTCATTGAAGTCCACGGAATATCGCGTGCATTATAAATGGCATTGTTCAACGTGCACAGATGCCGTGTACGGATTGTATCCAGCTCCGCATGGGAAATAGCCAGTGGAAAAGCAACCATGCCACAAGGACCCCGCGTTGGCTCGACTCAGATGTGCCACCCTTTGTCCTACCTTAGATTGGCAGCCGGTTTCAGTGTGAATTGGCATCCATCCATCTCATGCCTTCCAGCAAATTGAACAGAACAATATATTTCTGTTTCGACAGAACTAATGGTAAAAAAATGGAAATCGCTCATCATTCCTGCGTGGACCTGAAAACTTGTGAAGAAACGTGAATACATCATACCATTTTTTGACGTTAAAATATTTAGAATTTCAAACAACAACACGAAATCACGCATGCTGACCAGACATTTGTAGCAGATAAAACAGTTCACCAGGCTCAACACGGACAGAGGAAGCCCCATGCCTACATCAGCAGCGGTGAGCATGTAATTACACAAATACACAGGTCACTTTCTCACCCACTCTGCCACTGAGAGTAGTACTGTTGGTCACTTGACATTCAAATTGACGTTTGTCATTTTCAGAGCTAGAATGTTTGTCCACATTCAGTGCAGGAACCAAATTGAATCTGAAGTCTGCTTCTCGTGTAGACATTGGTATACCAGGCTGAGACCGCTACGCTTGAAAATCCCGTTTCATCACAAGCGGCTGCCTGATTTCTTAACCCTTGGATCTCAGAGGTACTTTTCTTAGCTTCACGCTCTGATCACAGCCACCCAGACGCCTCAAGGCATCAGCATTAAGAGACCATCGTCCAGCAATGGATAACAACTGATGCCTCTGATTAGCACGGTTGGCTATGTACGATGCGAAAGAAGTTCAATATACATACAATGATAAAACATTATTTTTCGAACAAATAAAATTCGGTAAAAAAGTATACTCATGAAAATATGATATTACCTTTGGAAGTAGTGCACAAACACAAATAAAAAAAATAAGTCCAAAAAATGCTCCTTTGATTTAAATGATCAGGCAGAGAGCCTGATTAGCTGTTCCACAAACATTAGCCGACGACGCAATACATTTAACTTCGTTATGAGCAGGGTTTAATATCTCACTCAATATTTTCTGTGTCGCTGGTAGACTGGATGCGCCCGTGTGACTCTTGTAGCCAGAGGCGTAGTGAGAGGCACACTGGGATGTGGTGTGCTGGACATCAGAATAATTTTCTGGGAAGCTGACCTGAACCTAGGGCATAAGTTAAGCCCTCAGTTCAGAGTCAAAGATGATGGTGCAGGTGGTGAGAGTTTTTTTGTTTGTTTCAAATCGTGTCATTAATTTACGTTTGAGAAATATTGCAGTTCGTTTGAGGAGATATAAGAATAGCTGATACCATTCTGTGGTCAAAAGCCAATATGAGGTTAAGGGTGCCACGGTGGCGAGATGTTAACGCCGTCGCCTGGTATACAGGAGATCGTCGGTTCGATCTCGACACCAACCCTGAGGTATGTATATTTTGAGTTTGCATGTCTCCTCCTGGCCGCATGATTTTTTTCTCCAGGTCCTCCGGTTTTCCCTCTACATTTAAAAACATGCGCTGAGAGTATTTGGCTCCTGCTTTAAATTTCCACATGATGATAGACCACTTCGTTGAGCTATCATTTGTGACCAGGTTGCTTCTGAAAAGAGATGTACAGTATAGGTCAGTGGGCCTTACCTGGTAAAATGAAAAAAAAAGTTGTTTTAAGAGTATAGTTTTCGCTACAGGTGGCACAAACGTAGGGCGAGAAGCCCGCTAATGGACGGTTGAGAGTTCAATTCCTGGTTGGTGGCTGACTCAACCCATCATCCTACTGGGGCCAATAAAATAAGTGCGACTTTGTGGGAAAGTCACAATCGGTTGTCCTGTGAATAGACTTGCCCCCGTCATTGGAATGTGGCTTCTCGACCACTGGCTCGGAACTGTAAACAGGAGGTTAGCACTGGCTCAATGCTCATTTGAGCAGAACATCACTTTGACTGAAGCTTCTACGTGACCGACATTTTACCCCGCTTACGACGTTGCTCTGTGCTACGTGCCATCGCACTGACCGTTCAGGAAGGAGTGTTCAGAACCCCTCTAAACGATTGCCGATACCTTGTGGACCCTCGCTCCGCAGAAATCGCTCGGAATAATCGCACGGAGGCAATGCGTCATCTCCCTCCTCAGCTCCTTCGTTCTGAACACGTAGATGCTGACGTTGGCCATGGGGATGAAGAAGATGGTGAAGCCGGCGGCGTAGCGCATGTTCCTCGCCTGGGCGCTCTGCAGGTCCTTGACCAAGCGTGACACGAGGACAGACAGGAAGATCGCGACGAAGAAAACGGCGAGCATGAAGAAGTGCGTGAGGAAGGTGTTCGCCGCTTTCGCCTTGAAATCGCTCCGCCGCGTCCTCGCGCACTCGACAATGACCCTCGCGTACGTGTACGCGATCAGCAACAGCGGCACCACGAAGAGCACCACGACCATCGCCGTGCTGTAGACCGCCTGGAGCTGCGTGTCGCCCTGCGACAGCCGGACGAACCCCATGTAATCACAAATCACGCCTTGTATCTGCCTGTCGCCGTCTCTCAGCTTCAGCGCGCTGACGAGAATGGTAAGGGGCACAAGCACGGCCCCCACGAAGCCCCAGATGGCAGCGATGGCCATCAACGTCCGTTTGCCAGTGACGATGGCGTGGTAGCGAAGTGGGTGGCAGATGGCCACGTAGCGGTCGACGGACATCGAGGCGAGGGCGAAACACTCGATGCCGATGAACAGGTTGATGGAAAACATCTGCGCGATGCAGGAGGAGCGCGGGATGCGCGTGTCCCCCGTCAGGAAGATGTAGAGCTGCTGGGGCAAGCTGACCGTGCAGCCAATGATGTCGGCCGTCATGAGGTTGCACATGAAGGCGTACACGGGCTTGTGCAGCTGCGGGCGCACGACCACCGAGAGCAGCACCAGGAGGTTGGCGAGCAGTGAGGCAACGAAGACGATCAGGCACAGGGTGAATGCGAGCACGCGGACGTTGTGGGGAGCTTCCAATGTCCCCAGGATGACATAGGAGTCGTTGCCTTCCATCGCGCGCAAGTCCTACAAATGGAATACGGTCATCTCCTAGGGCCTGCATGGGGGTGACATTTATGGGAACGCAATGCAAGGTTCTGGTTAGTATGGCAGTTGCGTCTCAATTGAACATTTATGAATTCTGTAAAATGACAGCAAATAATACATTGAAATCAGATACAATCATATTGGCTGTTGTGTTCAACAACCACACTGCAGGTCACCTCCCTTCTCTTCTCTTTCTTACCTCGCACAGCTCCCGCTTTGTAATTCCCTCCTCCCCATAATTGTTTCTTACCCCCCCCCCCCAAAGTCTTTAAAATAACCTTTGCTAATTTTTTGGTCTTACGTAACAAAAACAATCTATAATTGGTTTTACCTCGCAGTACACATTCATTCGTGCTTTATCTCTTGCTGGGCGCTTGGTATGCCGGGCTTTGGGCTGCGCTCGGCAACCCTAAAGATGACGATCCGAGCAGAAAACCGCCGCTTCGCGGTGCCACTTTGAGTGGCGCGACGCTTCTGTCGTTACAGCGAGCGGTCGCACGCAAACGCAGTGGCAGTGATACGCTCTGAATAAAGCGGACTTCTCTCTCTGTCTCTCTCTGGTCGGCACTTTCCAGGAATAGCCTCTGCCTGTTGAAGCGGCATTAGATGGGGGGTTTACTTAGGTTGTTTTTGGCATAAAGGATAATTGTGAAAGCTTTCACGAAAAAAGATTACAATGGATTATTATTTTATATTTAACCCATTCCTGGTTCTCAGATTCAAACGCTATGTTGGTTTTCATTTTACAAAAGAAAAACGCAAATGCTCCACTTGGCTAGAAAGTGCTCGCACACCGGAGCGAGCACCACTAAAATTAACAAAGTACCACCGTGCCTACGTGTGTGCCATTGCACTGAGCACTGTGTGGCAATGCTGTATCGCTCCTGCATGCTGACATTGTAAGTAAATGCGTATTGTTAAATTTTTAGGAGCGTTCGTACCTGCGGGTTACGGAGTTTGTCAAATGGCTCTTCACTGTGGTAGAAATAAAGGTGACCGGTCCCCGCATGTGTTGGAATCTAACCTCGGCGCCAGGTGTCTTTACAGTGACGGGAGTTGCGGCGTACCGACGGAGGGAAGATTTATATACACCGCAGAGCACCACGTGGTCACGTCACCTGATTGGTGTGGCCAGCAATGTTTAATTATCTCTTCTTGATCTCGGCGGTTTTCATGGATGTAACGACTCCCCGTGCGGCCAAACAAGATGCGTGTGTGTGTGTTTTTAAATATAAACTGCAGTTTTAATTGGTTCACCGACGTGGCTTGGGTGGGCCCAGCGGAAGTTGCGGTGCTGGCAGTTTAGTCTGCAGTGGAAGGTCGCTCGCTCGGTGATTTCTGCAGGGAATTTTAAAAGAACGAATCTTCTTTTATATATATGTAGGTAAACACGCAGACAATGTCTCCTGCCTATGTCTGTTCCCAACATAAAAAACACAGGTATAATATAGTTTTTTTTGGGTTAGATCACGTAAATATAAATGTGTCAATAAACCCACCACAACCCGACACAGCCAATTAATAAGGTTTGTCATGTAAACAGAACATGCCAATTCGTTACTAGTACAGCACACCGGTGTAATAGACAGCAAATCCACAACATTTACAATCTGAGTACGACGTTTCATCAGTAATTGCAACTAGCTTCATCAGGCGATAGGCAGTAGTAACTATTTTGCACAGAACTTCAACATTTTCAAAATCAATTGAGTGCCCTTGTTGGCACGCGTGTTCTTCCACTGCCGACAGTTGTATTTGGAGTATTTTATATTTATTTGGTGTTTTTTTAGTCTCTTTAACTCATAATATATATATAAAACACAATATTATGGATGATTTGGGTCGCGAAAGTCTACGTGTTAAACAAACACAGGTATATATTTACACATCCCATCAGACACACATTTACCAATACACAACCCCCCCCCCCCCCCCCCCCCCCCCCCCCCCCCCCCCCCCCCCCCCCCCCCCCCCCATAGCCTTAATAACTTTTTGGGACAAGTGCTGTTAGCGAGCACATAAACAACTATTTTTTTTTATCTCAACAGGTGAGGCCCACTGAGCTATACAGCTCTTTTGCAGAAGCGACCTGGCCACGAATGATAGCTCAACGAAGTGGCTTATCATCGTGTGGAAATGTAACTTGCTGACCCGCCCATGCTGGACAATTGTGAAAAAGAGCTTCATAACTCATCAGATTCCTCCTGCAGCTTAAATAAAGATTCTGATTCACTATAGCGGCCAAATACTCTAAACCTATGAAGACACATACGCAGAGACATCCAAACTCTCTTTCTTTTTTTATTTTCTTTCTTCTTCTTACCTATAAAAGGCATTTTTTGTCTGTCTGTCTGTCCCTCTGTGTACGCGCGCTTGCGAGGGATTTGACGCTCTGACGGTGGGGTTTACATAGAAAAACATTTGCCGGGCGGCACACCCCAAGCCCCGCGGTGCGAATAGGCTATTCTGTTTTCCCATCCGTCACCTTTAAAATAGTTAAATTAACGATTTAGTTCGATTTCTCTTTATTAATTTATTTAACTTTTGTCGCTCGAAGCTGCTGGTGGTTGCACCTGGCAATGCATGCGCGTCATCGGTTGAGGGTGGGGGGGATTTGTCCTCAACGCTGAGTTAAATGCATCAAAGTGTCACGTCCTCTCCCCACCCCCACCCCAATGTGTGGACTTACTACTATAGCGTCGGTAGATACTAAAATTATAGCGCTTAGACAGTACTATTTTAGCGCGGGGGGTAGCGACCCAGCCCCACCCTCGCCTGGCTGGAGGCTCGGCACGGGACCAGGCCTCACCACGGCACTCTGTCATGTGAGTACTTTGTGCTATAGAGTCGATATATGCTGCTCTTAGTGGGAAGTACCCGACGTTGCCCAGGGGAAAATATATATTTAAAAACTTCTGAAAATTGAAAAACATAACATATACAAATGAAAATAAAACTTTGATCATTACCTCATTAATTAAAAATCTAATAAAACCCAATGCGCCGTGGAAAAAAAACAACTTTCGCTTGCGCGCCAAGATTCGAATCTTTAAATCGTGCAAAGTAATCGAAGGTTGTAGATTTCTTTAGAATCAGCCTATTCCCGTTTAATCGATAGCACAAACGCTCACCAGATATCGATTCTCGCCAGTCCTGTATGCGGGTTGACGCCACACACTTCATGGTCATTTAACCCCCCCCCCCCCCCCAAAATACAAAAGTCTATTTTTATATTTTTTACATTGTGTACAGTCCGGAAGTTACCCACATGCCAAATTTCAAGTTCGTTGCATGTCGGGAAGTATGCTAAACATTTCCAACAGACACACAGATTCATAAATGTCCTTTTTTATATATCCATTATTGCGCCCCCCCCCCCAAAAAAAATATATAAAAGTCTATTTTTATACTCTTTGCATTGTGTACAGCCTGGAAACTACCCACATGCCAAATTTCAAGTTTGTTGCTTGTCAGGAAGTATGCTAAACATTTCGAACAGGCACACATTGGTTAAAAAATTACCTCTTTTCTCGCACCCAAACTGTATTCACAGATGGTTGGAGGTCAAACAGTGTTAAGATAACAAAAGGGGTTCCACAGGGTTCCATCCTCGGCCCCCTCTTGTTCTCTCTTTATGTCAATGACTTGGGCACTGAACTGGATCATTCCAGGGTAAATCTTTTTGCAGATGACACAATACTGATTACTGCTGGCCGCTCTCCGGATGACGTGATTGCTAAGCTCCAGGGTGATTTCAACAAACTACAACATCAGCTAGTTTCTCTTAAACTAGTCTTGAATACCTCCAAAACCAAGGTCCTATGCTTCTCTCCGGGACTAAAGCAGGAAGTTATTTTTCCCCAATTACATTCCTTGAATAATTATCAAATAGAGCAAGTCAAGATCTATAAGTATCTTGGGGTCATCCTGGATTCAAAACTTAGTTTTGACGATCACATTGATTATATTGGTAAAAATAAAATTTGGTTTTCTGTATCGACACAAGTACTGCTTCCCCCCAATGTTCCGTTTGGAATTGATAAAACCTACCATACTGCCTCTACTTGACTACTGTGACATCGTGTATAAATCAGCCCCAAGTACTGTACTGAAGAAGCTTGATTCCATCTATCACTCGGCCTTAAGATTTGCATTGAACTGCCCATATAGGACTCACCACTGTGATCTCTACATTGGGTCAAACTTAACATCTCTTAATGTTCGCCGGCTTGTGCACCAGATCTTATTTATTCACGATGTACTTACAAAAAATTCCGCAGACTACCTACTGGATCTCCTCTCTGTTTCAAAGAACAAATTTGACCTCAGGTCTTCGCTCATTTACCAGCTTCACATTCCCTATTGCCGTACAAAAACTGGAGGAAGGGCCTTTGCTATTGATGTCCCCAGGGTCTGGAATGCTATTGCCAATAAACTGCAACTTGAATCACTACCTATGAGATCTTCACTCAAAACTGCTCTAGAGGAGTTGTACAACCCTAGCTGCCACTGCTATTCAGTGGCCTAAAATATGGCTCTAGATTTTGGTGTTATAATTTATTTATGTAGTTTATTGTAAAAAATTCGGTCACAGTCCTTATGATCACTGTTACATTGGATTTATGGCTTTTATTTTGGTGATTTCGAAAAGTTTTTTTGTTTTGGCCATGTTTTTGTTTATTGTAGTACGGAGTTAGACATATGGCCTTAATCCTAGTTGTCTTGTGGTTGTTGTTGTTGTTTGACTTGCATCCCACTGGGATTTTTGCACACAGCGTTGGTGTACGGTGCTATTTCAGGAATATTTTGATATTTTTTTCCTGTTTTTTCTGTTTGCACAGTCACATAATCACTTTAAGATGTTTTCTTGTTCATGTTTTTTGTTTGTTGCGGTTGCACCCGATTCAAGAGCCGAATGGCTCACAGGGCTATACCAAATAAATGAACTATGAACTAACATTCACTAATTTCCCTTTTATATATAAGATACTAGTTGCACTACCCGTCTTTGCCCG